GGAGTGTGGGGGGGCGCAGCACCGTTGAGGGGGGGTCGAGGGGGTCGCAGCGCCGTCGGGGCGGCCCGGGCGGCGGCTCCGGTCGCCCTTAAGCTGGCAGCGGAGCGACCTTAAGGGCGAAAGCGAGCGGCGGCCCGGCCTTATCGGAGCGTATTTACGGCCGCCGTGTTCCCGAGGAGCCGTCAGGTGACTCCGCTGCCGGGGACCCAGACGCCGGGGTCAAGGGCGCCGGCGGCGGGTGGCCCGAGCCGGGGGGTGTCGCCGGCTGGGGACACCCGCTGGTGCTGCCGTCACCCCTCGGCACGGGCTCCCCGTGCCACCCTGCACCCCACGGGTCCCCATCCCGGGGGTCCCCATCCCTGCTCCCCCAGGATGGGGTGCCCGGTGCCCGTTGCGTACGGGGTCAATGCGGGTGCAGGTGGCCCAGGGCTCCCCCCGCACGGAGCTGTGGCCACCTGCATCCACTTTGCTGGGTCCGCGTCGCCACCGCCCGGCTCCTTCCCGGCTCCTTCCCTCCCGTTTTATTGCACATTCCCGCTGCTCCCGCCGCGTGCTGCAGTGCTGGCGCGGGCGACGGGGCCGCCACCGCCACGGGCCTTCCCCGGGCACCGCGCACGGCGGGCACCGCGCCAGGGGCTGCTCCCAGCCGCCGGTCGCGCGGCGAGGCCGCGGCGGCAAAGCCACGGCCGATGATTCGGGGAGCAATTCCCTGCATCGCCGCTGCAGCCCCGCTGCCCGGAATTGGGCATCTAGGGGCTGGGACGTCTCCTGGACTGGGCATGGGGAGCTCCCGGCGCCGCTGCAGCTCCTCGGGATAAGGGGGGACCCACGGTGCATCCGCTCTGGCGCTGGCTCCAGCCACCCCGTGCCGCCGTGATTTATGGCCCTGTCAATCCCCTTTGTTGGAATTAGAGCCACCGCCGTGCCCCCCTCGGTGGCATTATCTGTCCCTGGGCTGCAGCCAGCAGCAGCAGCACGGGGCGGCGGAGGCTGCTAGTCGTCGCATCCTGCCCCGGATGCCGCGGGGCCAAACCGGGCCCCGCATCCTGGCACCCGCCTCGSGGAGGGCAGCACCTCGAGGAGACCCCGACCCTGCACAAAGGAGTGATCCCCTCTCCAAAAATAACTCCTGCCGGCAGGACGCCGTGCGCCGTCTCCCTCCCGCGCCGGGCATCCCCCCGCCTTGCAAGGCAGCAGATGCCACGCGATGCCCGCCCGGACCACATGGAGCAGCTGGCGTTGGGAGCCAGCGCGCGAGAACGTGAGACCTTTTATTGGCCCAACAAATCACTGGCAGCCCCTTGCGCGGCGCGCACCTGCGCCACGAACGCGCCGCCAAACCTGCCCGCGGAAAAGAAGATCCGCCCCGGGCGCCCGCGAGCCTCATGTGCCCGGCACACACGGAGGTGGCATGAGCTGGCGGCGGGGACACGGCTTAGGGATCTATTCCTGGGGCATCCAGAGCCCGTCGTGCCTCAGTTTCCCCCCGCGGGGCTGCTCTGCCCGTGCCCGCCCAAGCGATGCCAGCCTGGCTTTCCCAGTGAGGACACTGCAAGGGGCATCTCTGCGTGCTGCTGGCACCGCAGGGGACTGTCCCCGTCCCCTGCGTGCGGAGTCTCCAAGCTCCCCCGGCCGCCCCCCCAGCCCCCGGGGGCTCAGCCGGCCTGAGCCTCTCCTGGCCTAGTTTCCAGGCGGCCGCGGGCGCCGGGGCCGGGCCCGGAGCCCGGCTGCTCCGGCAGCAAACTGTCCCCGCTGGATGGCTCCCAGCTCCCGGCGCTGCCGGGAACAGCCTGTCCCTTTCCCGGCCCACGCCGCCCACGCGCTCCCCGCACGCGGCTCCGCACCCCGCCGGCTGCCGGCGCGGGGCGGGCGGGCGCAGGTGGCCACGGCACGTGGTGGGGACAAGCGTGTCCCCAGCAGACCCCTCCGAGGGTGCCTGGGGCCGTGGGCATCCTCGGCGTGCTCGGCATCACGGGCATCCTCGGGCACCACGAGCACGCTYGAGCATCCAGCACCGCAGCATCCTCCCCACTGGCACGTGTCACCCGCCAGGGGCCAGGATCTGCCCCGGGGGGGGCACGAGGAGGGGCAGAAGGGGCATTTGGGTGGCAGCAGGATGGGGATCCCCACGTTGGACACGATCCAGAGCCCTGGCCTCTTTGCAAGCTCTAAGAGCYAAGAGGCTCGTGCCTCCTGGCCAACGTGCCATGGCCAGGAGCGAGAATCACGGAATCATGGAATGGTTGAGGTTGGAAGGGAGCTCTAGAGATCATCTAGTCCAACCTTCCTGCTCCAGCAGGGACACCCAGAGCACCCAGACCTCCAGAGAAGGAGCCTCCCCATCCTCCCTCCGTGAGCCCAGGCGCGGCGCTGTCCCCGAGCCCGCCGCGGGCACCCACCTCTCTCGCGCACGAAGTAGGCCAGGTAGAGATCGAGCTCCTTGACGGAGACGCTGATGTGGTGGGGCTGCACGCAGAGGATGGGGTTGGTGCACTGGCCCGACTTGACGAGGCGCTCGCCGTCGGTGCTCTCCAGCGGGATGCCCTTGAAGAGGATGACCATGACGAGGTCGAGCCGCCACACCTTGTCCGCCTGGCGCAGGCAGTCGATGCGGCGCATCTTGCCCTTCTGGTCGGGGTTGGAGAGGACGCAGCACGAGGGCTTCTTGCCCGTGATGGAGAGCACGAAGTCCTCGCGGCACTCGGGCCGGATGTCCTTGCGCAGCTTGGCGAGCAGGCGGGACGCCCACTTCTGCTTCACCTCGGGCTTCTCGCTCAGCAGCTCGTCCTTCACCGCGCGCTCCTCGTCCTTCGTCATCCTCTTCTCGTGCTTCTTGAAGTACTTGCGCTTGCGCGCCTGCAGGTTGAACCAGGTGTAGGCGAAGGCGCGCACGTGCGGCAGCAGCGCTTCGATGAACGGGTGGAACTCATCCTGCGGAGCACAGGGACACGTGTCACCCCCCGTGCCACGTGCCACGGCCTCGCGGTGCCCCCACCCGCGCCGGGCAGGACCCTGGGCCTGCTCCCCGCCCCGCCATGGGGCTGGCCCCATGCGAGGTGCCTGGAAGCAGGACCCTTGGGTGCTCTGCCGGGTCCCACGGGCGCACGGGGCTGCGAGGTGGCAGGTCCCCGCCCTGGGGACGCTTCCCGCGCTCCTGTCTGCACCGCTGTGCGTCCCGCTGGGCTCCAGCCCAGCTCCACCAGCACCGGCAGCCTGACCCAGGGGACCCTCAGCACCCAACAAAACCGGGGTGGGGGGCACAGCAGGGCCACGTTCCCCCCGTTCCTCTTCCCACCCGCGCGCTCCAGGGTCCCTTCCCAACCGGCACCTCACGCCAAGGCAGACATTTCCCCGCGAGTGAGCCAGGGAAAAGCAGCATTTGCATCCGCCGGAACGCGCCGGGACCTGTCCCTGCGGTGTCCCTTGTCCCCAAGGACCCCCACGTGCCCCCCGTGGGCCCCGCGGCGGCAGGAAAGCCCGCGCGCTCGCCCCGCTTTTGGCCGGCCGGGCTGCTGGCCTCGGGCCCGCGCGCTCGGCGCGCTCTGACCGCCTTTTTCCATGCAGCCAGCGGCTCCGAGCGCGGCCGGCCCAGAAAGAAAACAAGGGAAGCGCCTCCATCTCCCGCCGCCAGCCGCCTCCGAGCCGTCCCGCAGCCCAGATTTTCCCAGTTCGGAAAATCCGTGCTTCCTAATCGGTCATGGTGCATGAAAACACCCAGGAGGAGGGGGATTTAGAAGGGTGCAGGGCTCGGAAAAAGCCGCCACCGGCTTCCCGGGCGCCTCGGCGAGGGCGCGAAGGGAGGCCAAGCTCGCAGCGAGGCGAGCGGCCGCGCTCTGCCAGACCTCCCTGAAACTCCGGGCTCGCTGCTCGCTTCCAATGTGGCTCCCATTAAGGATAATTGGACTTGCAGCGGGAAAACAGCCCGGGCGCCAGCGCAGCGCGGCCGCCGCCAGCACCGCCGCGCGCCCCGGCCGGCACCGAACGGGGAAGCGAGCGGGGAAGGAAGCCGGGCGAGGGGAACGGGAGAGCTGCACAAAGCGGCGCTTTTGCCCCCGGATTTGCTTCGCACTGAGGCACGAGGTGCCGACGTGGCCCCTTCGCCATGCCGSCGTCCTCCAAGCGCAGGGATGCGGGGCCGCGCGGAGGCGGCTGCGGGAGGGACGGAGCCGTCGGGTCTATGGCTGGTGGATGAGCCGTGAGCGCGGCCGCTGGGGTGGCCTTGGGGCAGGTGCCGCCCTTGCCCGTCCCCAAACAACCCCGGCTGCGGTGGACGGTGACCCCGAAGCCACCTCCTGCCCCGCTCGGGCCTCCCCATCCCAAACCTGGGGGATCCATTTCGGCCTGCAGGGACCTGTCCTGACCACAGGGATCATCCCCTGCAGGACCCAGCCCTGCTGGGAGACCCATAGGGATCCATCCTGCCATTGGAATCCATCCTGCCATTGGGATCCATCCTGCCATGGGATCCATCCTGCCATGGGATCCATCCTGCCACAGGGAACTATCCTGCCATTGAGATCCATTCTGCCATTGGGAACCATCCTGCCATGGGATCCATCCTGCCACAGGGAACCATCCTGCCCTAGCGATCCATCCTGCCCTAGGGATCCATCCTGCCCTAGGGATCCATCCTGCCACAGGGAACCATCCTGCCCTAGGGATCCATCCTGCCCTAGGGATCCATCCTGCCACAGGGAGCCATCCCTTTCCCAAGGCCTCGCGGTGCTGGAAGAGCCGCTTCCCCCGGGCGCATCCCGCCCTGCGCAGGGACTCGGTCCTGCCAGCGGCTCCGGGGGCATCCGCAGCCCCCGGGTCCCTCCCCAGCAGGAGCCACTAATTGGGCGCAGCTGGGCAAGGGCTGGGCATGTGTCTTAAATCAGGGAAGAAGGTCAAAGAAAAGTAAGACAGGAGCCGAAAAAGGCAGCAGCGAGTTCCAAAAACAATACTCGGCCGGGGCGGTGGGCGGCTGATCTGCCTTGGTGGCCGGTCCTTCAGGCGAAGCCGACAAATTGCTGCCACATCCCATCCCAACGGTGCCCGGGGGCACGGCCGGAGGGCCCCCTCCCCTGCCGCCGCGCGGGATTAGGGCGGCATGGGAGGCTGACGGAAAGCTGGGCAGCTCCTGCAATCCGATCAGCCAGCCGACAACTTTCCCTCCCGCCCGGCTTATCCCGCACGGAGATGCTGCTCTGAGTTAAGCCGCATTAGCGGGGCCAGGCCAGGCCAGGGTGCGGGGACAAGGGGACAGACGGTCGCCCGGCTTTGAGGCCGCCGCGGGCTGGTGGCAAGGGGACGCTGGGGATCGTCCCCGTGCTCTGCATCCCTGCGGTTCCCTTTCCTCTCCGCATCCCTGCGGTTCCCTTCCCTGCCCGTGCTGGTGCACGGAGCTGCGTGTGCCTGGGCATCTGCCACCACGCGTGTCACCGCCCGGGGTGGCATCGAGTTTGGCCCTGCCACGGAAAGCCAAGGCGGTGCCTAACGGGGGCCACCGTCACCAGCTCAACCCCCTGGCACCCAGCGGCATCGTGGCAGGAGCAGGGAAAACCACCAAGGGAGGAGGCGCATGGGAGCTGCACAGCGGGGGCGAGAAGCGCCCGGACGCCTGGGCCCCTCCGGGAAGCAGCAGGACCCCCCGTCCCGCGGCCTCGCTGCCCGGCCTCGCTCTGGTCCAGGCGCTTTGCGGCGCGCGGGCTGGGAGCGGGGACGTGCTGCAATCCCGCAGCGCGAGGCTCTTCTCGGGGCATTTCCGGCCGGGAATCTGGCAGCAGAGCTTGTTCTTGGGCCCCGTCCAGCGCGGGCTCGCRCGGGGGTTGCAAAAGGCCGGCGAGGCTGCGGCGCCCGGCGCAGCGACACGCAGGGACGGGGACACGGGAACACCGTCCCCACGCAGCCCTCGCATGAGTGCAAGCAGGTGGGGCTGGCCCGAGAGCCCCGATTTTCCAACGAAAAACAACCCCCCCGCCCCGTTTCCTCCGGAAATTCCCGCGCCGTTTTCCCCGGGGGAGGAGGAGGAGGAGGAGGAGGAAGGCGTCGGGGGCGCCGCAGCAGCGGGTCTCGCTGCCCGCCGGCAGCGCGGGGCCCTCGCGGTGGGGTGCAGCCCCCCCGGGGACCACACAGCGTTGCTTTCATGAAAGGATGCCCGGGCTCCAAGCCCCCACGCCCCGGGAGCGCTGCCGGCTCCGGCGGCTGCCAGCTCCCGAGCCCCGGGGCCRCGCGAGCCCAGGCAGGGGCTGGCAAGTCGGGCGCTCGGCACCGAGCCTGCCCGGCGCTGCCGAGCCGCCGCGCTCCGGGATGCAGCGCTGTGATCCACAGGGATCCAGTGCATGCAGCAGCGGGGGGTTAATCCATGCGGCTCTGCCCGGTTTGGCCTAATCCCGAGGCTGATTTCGCTTTGCCCGGGCTGGAAATCCGAAAGCAAAACGCCGAAGCAGAGGGGAGCAGTGATTGCAGCACGGCGCGGCCACCGTGCGTGGCTCTCGCTGCCAGGATTGTCCCGTCCCCAGCTCGGGGCCTCGGTTTCCCCTCTCCTCCAGAGCCCCTCGCTCCTATCGCACGTGCAAACCCGCCGGGTGCCGCTCATTAACTGCTGCCAGCAACGGTAACGAGCCAACCTGGTAACGAGACCTGTTGCGGAGACGGATGCAAATGACTCGAGTGCTCATTAGAGGACACGGGAGGAAGGCGCCCAGGCCCTGACATCACCCAGCCCTTCTCGGGGCCCTCCCCGCTCCGCATTAGAGCCCATTTTGCAGTAATTGCTCCAGAGGAGGAAATCTATTTGGATTCATCATGAAGTATTTATTAACGAGCGCTCATTCAGGATTCCTGCTGCTC